ACATCCCGCTGCAGTGACTCTGTGAGATATAATGTACGGTCCAACAAGAGAAGTGTCTCTACAAGATGACACATCCACATTCGTAATAGTGTGAGACCAAGAAATGATGTAAAGTGTGTAGAAATATACTCTTTATCCATTTCTGCTGCTAACGCTATATTAGACTCACTCTTCAGGAACTCCACTTGTGCTGAACGACAGAAAGGACATACATCTATCTTTTTTTCTTTTTCTTTTTCTTTTTCTTCGTTTTGTTGAGATTTCTCTTCTTCTATTGGGCTATGCTTCTCCTTCCCTATATCTGCTGAAAGATACTCCTGACAAACTTCTGTATATAATGTCTGCAGAGTCATGGTATCTTTTATCTTCGCCATTCGCCGCAGAAAGGCCGGCTCCAAGTGTGGCACTTCTACAAAAGAACAGCAATACTTCTTCTTTTCCATTCTTATTTTCTGCCATTCATAGCGAATACGATACCATAGGAGTTTTAAAAGACTACGGTAAAAAAGTAAACGAGCCGAACTCCGGTGTCCACTTGCAGAGATCGTCGCCCACATATCAAGTGGTTGAGTAGCGAGTAATAAAGAAATCTGTTCTGTACACCAACCGGACTTTGAAAGTTCATAACTCAATGGAAATCCACTATTCGTGAGGGCATGCCAACAACAACTAACAAGTAAGAGTCCACGAGATTGACTAGATGTAAACAATTGACATACACTAGAGCCAAGATCTCCACATGGGTGTAATCCCATCATAACAGTATTGCGGAGATCTGGCACATGTACAATAGGCATCTTCACCGCTAATGGAGGAATAACGCGTAGAAGTATAGCCAACTTTAACATCCATGCTAACTCTGCAGGTGGAATGTTGAGATCTTCTATACTTTTTTCTTCCAGTGATATACCATCATCTCGGTGTTGGAGTAGTGTAAAGGCTTCTTTATGTCTTCCATCATCTAGGATAACAAAGTGACGATTAGGGGCACAATCATAACCAATAACGGTAAGGCACGTTTTAATATATACGTAATTTATATCAGTTATATTCTTCTCATTCTCTTTTACTAACATATTCTCCTCATTGTCATCCTGTTTTTCTGTATCTTGTCGAAGAGGAATAAGCACCTCTGCTCGTATTCCCCGAGGAAGTCTGGTACTGGTGAACATTTCATATTTTGTGAGTATTTCACCTATTTTACTACATACAACCTCATTATTATTATTATTATTATTATTATTATTATTATTATTATTATTATTATTATTATGTGTACGTTCTTTTTCTTCTTTTTCTCCTTGATCATCCTCATCATCATTGCCATTGGCGGAGGAAATGGTTCCATCTCTCTGGCCACGCAGTCGTTTCGTTATTTTAAACGTATCCATACCCGTCTCCTGTTCATATACCACTTTATCCGTAAAGAATGTTGTCATTATACACTCTGTGAAGGCCTCTACAGAGAGTTTACAGTTCCACTCATCCACAACTTCCTTTAATGGAAGTCCGGCTGTGTGAAGAGTCTCATTAGCGTGCAGGTGTCGCAGTGTGTGCCGCATCATCACAGCCGTCGCATCTCGCCGTATAATATGTTGACAGACAAGACATTGTAACTTCATCCCCGCCTCCTTTTGTACTTCACCTACTTGCATAGGAGAAACTACAGCCCTCACATCCAATGTAGATGTAGATAGAGATGTGGAATCACATATACGCACATGACCCCGCAATATATCCGCCCAGTTCATATTTCCACAATTAACACGACAGGCAATACTCGCCATGTGTCCACGCGGTTCATACATCAAGTTGAGAATATCACGTCCCCGCCCTTCACTCTGCACACCATCGAGTGAAAGTCGACCATGCAAGAGAAACTCCACACGCTCCGCGGCCCGTTCCTTATGCGATGGATTGCAGTCCAGTCCAATCACCTGCAGACCATCAGAGAGGGCCAAGGCACGAGAGACGTATCCTTTACCCTCGCCAATATTCAAAACGGTATTCACCGGCTCCAGAGATGAATCACCGCCATTACAACAATTCACAAGATCCAACATCGTCTCTCGCATCACTGTTACTTCGTGTTGTTTCTTCGGCCCCATGCCGTGACAACGCACCGCATCCATCACTCGTCGTCGTCGTTGTTCTTCCATCACATCAACAGACGGCGGTGGTCCGTCTTCTTCCACACGTAAAGTTTCACTGGCACTATCATTCTTTGGCCGAGGTCGGCGGTTTAACTGTAGAGCTTTGGTTTCTTTAAAGAAGGATTGTAAACATGATGCCGCCCCCGCTGGTGGACCATTACGAATAAGAAGATGTAATTGATCCATAAGTGCATCTTCATTCGGTATCAGTTCAGCGAGGGCATTGCAGAGATCCCGCATGTATTCTACTTCTTCATCCTGAACTACAGTGCCATCAAGATGGAGAAGTGGTATACGCTCTCCATTGGCGTTTGTATCTTTATTGAGGAGAAAGTGAAAAAAGTTATCCGGATGGTATTGAATAAGACGTGTTTTGCGGAGAAAACTGCCCAATCGCTGAATGTAAGCCTGGAGTTGTGGATGGAGTCCTTCTACGCAGGAGTTTTCATGTGTAAAAGTGGTATATTCTCCAGTCAGAGGGCTGCTATTGCCGCTATTCTCATTCTTCTTACCACTATTGTTGTTGCTAGTAGTAGTGGTAGTAGGAGAAGAAAAGGCATGAGGTAATGGGAGAACAAGACGATGTGTCATTCTCCTTCCAACGGCATCTAAGAGAAATAAATAAATAAAAAGAAAAAATCCATTATGAAAGAAATAAAAGGGAAACAACAAGAGATCTCTCTTAAATTTTTAATATAAATATACACATAGGCAAAACCATTCATGGAAATATATATATATATATATATATATTGGATCATTCATATCAATCTGTCATTATATAAATAATATTCTTAACAAGAGAGATAAGAGATCGCAATAACAAGATAAATTTCTTCTTCTATGTAATCGCATCGTCCAAAAAAAGAAAAAAAAGAAATCACAGCAAAACTACAAATATACAACACGAAGTTAAAAGACATAACTCCAAACGCAAATAAATAAAAACATTGCAGAAAAAGAATACAATAAAAATAAAACTCCCACAAACAGAAAATAGAGAATTCCCATATCTTCCATGCAGCTGTTAATTCCCCTTCGTGGAAAGTCTAACGTTTCTATCCTTTCAATAATTACGCAAATCAGTAGAAAAAAAAAAAAGAAATACCATTTCCTATCATCATCCTCATCATCAGGAGTTTCCCCCACCAAAGTATTATTACTCTCATACTCTTAGGGATACAGTTTAGCTACAACAGCAATTCTTTTTTTTTTTTTCCAGTAGTTAACTCTGAATGAATTTCCTTTTAAGAGAGTAGAAAACTTTATATATATATATATATAGTGGTTCCATCACTTCATTTCATTCTTATGAATACCCACAACCACAAATAATTACATGAATACAAATAGAATAAGGCTTATTTTTTTTTTTTTTTAATATCATGAATACAGTCCCTTTTTCTTTTCTTTCTTTTTCTCCTTTCATTGGTTTACTATTTTTCTGGAGTATTAGATAATACATTCTTTAAAACATCCCGTACGTTAGAAGTGTATGCGTTGTACTCCTCATCACGGAAGCATGCGAAGCAGCAGAGATCAATGGCATCTGTATTCTCAGCCACAAACCGTAAAGTTTCCGTTAGGGCTATACGAGTTGCCGGCAATAACGGATATCCATACACACCCGTACTCACACAGCAGAAACCCACACTTCGCAGTCCATTGCAACGTGCTAATGATAAAATAGATCGATAACAACTACGCAGTTCTTCTGGTTTTTCCCCAATAGGCCCAACGGTGTGCAATACATACCGGGCCGGCAATTGATATCCCTTCGTTAGTCGACACTGTCCAGTCGCACATCCATTGAAGGTCGCACACTCCCGCAGCAGTAAAGGCCCTGCGGCTGAATGAATGGCCCCATCGACTCCACCGCCGCCCAGACATTTATTATTAGCGGCATTCACAATCGCATCCAACTGCAGATCAGTGACGGGGCCTTTATAAAAGGCGATGCGTTGGAGAATGCGATCGGATTTATCCACCGGTGGGAGATCACTGATACTGACGGGGTGCGGGACGGCGCAGCGCCAACCTTTCAGTGAAGTGCGGTCTAATGAGCCCCAACGTTCAATGGGAATATTAAATATCGCCTGTTCAAGTGGGGAGAGTGTGGTGGCGAGAATACGTGCACGGGGAGATGATAAACTTTTATGGTTTTCTCCCTTTTCTCCCTTTTCTCCTTGTAAAGAGTACGTGATAAACTTCAAAGATGAGCCTTCCGTTTCTCTTCCACGCTTATTGGACAAAGTGGAGGTATCCTTCATTGTGTGTTTTATTTTTATTTTTTTCTTTCTTATGGTCTTTTTTTTTTTTTTCTTTTTCCCTATAATGATTTGCACGCCTTCTTCCCTAAAAGAGAATGAAAAAGAAAATGAGAGTCTATGATTTGTGTTTCTCTAATAGAAAAACAAATAAATAAATAAAAGAGTGAAAGTAAAATAAAAAGGTAAAAGAAACAAGATGAAATGTATAAACACAAACAACTTTAATTTATACAGTCTGTCTCTTAACTCTCTTTGTACTTTCTCATTAATAATAATAATAATAATAATAATAATAATAATAATAACAATAATAGTAATAAAGAAGAAAAACAATTAACAGTAGAAATCATTAAATAAAAACAGTACTATCCAAAATGCATTGCGCAAATGATAAATTGGTAGTTATTTATTGGGTTTTATAATCCCCAACAACACCCAACGTGGTGAGTGGGATGGGAACAAAGATAAAAATAAACAAACAAACAAACAAAAAGACAATAAGAGAAATAAAAAACGTTCATTGGAAAAATAAGTTCACTTATCGCAAATACACAAAAACACAAACCCAACCGTACATAGATAAAGAGATAGAGATAGAGAGTGTCAGGGAAAAAAAGAATATCTCTCTCTGTTACGTAAAGAACACATATAAGTGGGAAAATGTTATTTGTGATTTAATATTCGTTGGCAATAGGGCAAGAAAGCCAAAACAAAACAAAAAGGGAAAAAGAAAAAGGAGAGAAAAAGAAAAAAAAGAAAACGGTTTAAGTAATAAAAAAAAAAAAAAAAACAATAATGAAGAGAGTCTCAAAAAAAACAAAATAATAATAATAATAATAATAGTAATCACACTTCAACGATCTCATTTAAAACTAAAGCTGTGCTGCATGTCGTTCCTTGAGGAGGCCTTGTATACAAACCCTTCTTCACTATCATACTTAAAGTCATTGAATCCTGTTGGGTGAGAGAATAATAACGTACGAGCCTCGGCCCGTTGATCTGCAGATTTACCGTAAATCATTCCAACCATATGCAAAAGAGATGCCCGAAGAAGTGTTGTGAATACCTGCGAACTTGTATAGGGTTGTGTATATTTAGAAGTAACGCAGACATCAATGTGTTCATTCTTAATCATATAGCCAATACCAAATCCATCTCCCACTACAGGACCAAACCCAAAAAGACTTAAACTACTACTACCACAATGGGATGTAGACATAAGCCAATGGGCACTTCGTTTAAAAACAGGGGCTTCAAATAAATCAGGAATTTGAATTCCATGTTTAACAGCTTGTAAACGTAAACCAAGGAGATGACGATCAATACCATGTGCATTTTTTGCTCGTTTCATTATATCAACATGCTCTTGTATGGCTTCTTCCATTAATTTTAGTTGTGATGGTAAACGTGATCCCGGCCGCTTGGCGAAGATTGGCTCAGAGGCCGCTGCACAAAAGTCTAAAGCGGCTCGAGTGGCACTTCGCACACATTCCGTTCGGCCGTGAAGAAACGTTCGAGTACTGGCCGCCTCATAAGTAGCGCAGGTTTGACCAAACATACGATAATAAGTGAGTTGAAAAGCGAGTTGGACAAATGCATCGGGAGAAACTTTTAAATCTTTTAGAAGAGATCCACCAAAATCACGAAATCGTAATACGGCAGTTTCATTTACTTCAATCATAACTTTATAATTTGCAAAAGCTTGATTCATGATAATATTTAACTGTGAATCTAATTTCCATTCTAACTCAGAAATAAGGCTTTTCGCCTTTGCCCGACGAGATTCATCTAATATCAATTCTTCAATAGATTCCTTTGTAAACGCATTATTACAATCCGCTTGATACATTCGATCGGCAAGCCGTAAAGTTGAGGTTCCATCCGCAACGGAGTGTTCCCAATTCACACCAGCCCAACCATCACGGGTTACAATGATATTATGCCGATCAAACCATCTGTTGGTACCACTACCATGGAGAAATATACGAGCCGCCTCATCTGATGTTACCACTTCTACACTATCTAAAGCTAAACAAATAATAGCGGATTGAATTGCACGTAATGTTTGATAATTTCCAAGTTCTTTAAGATTTTCTCGTGCCTCAAACCATCCTGTACGATCCATAGTTGTTAATAATCCAACAGGAGGTCCTGCCTCTTCTGTACTATTTACTTTTTCACCAATAAGATATAATGCCACCACAAGTGTGGAAACATCTATAGGTAAACCTTTATCATCTAAAACCTCCAACACAAAAAATCGATTACGTTGAATCACTACACAGTGTTTTGGAGGAGATGGAAGGGCAACATATTCCACACTCTTTGATTGTAATTCATCCTCTGTTAACGCAGGAGAATCAAGATAACAGACTTTACGATCTCGATATCTTCCCGGGAGTCGTGAGGTACAACAGAGAAAACGATTCTGACACATACATACCGGTTTATCCCGTTCATACTCACACAAAAGTTTCCCATCGCGTGTATCAACAAAATAAGAGACGGCACCCCAAAGAAGACTTGCAGCCCGACCCATTTGAGTCATGGCTTTTGCGTTTGGATGAGCACTAAATCCAAAGAAGTAATTCACATTAATGGGAATGGGATCACGTGGGCAAAGATAGGCATCATCCCAGAATTCCTCCAACCAACTCGGCTGTTCACACCGTTCATCCCACTCATGAAGTAATTTATCCAACATCTCGCCCACTCCACCACTCGCTTTAAATTCGTCTACTAATTTAGATACAACAACATACTCCGAAGGTGAGGCGATGGCCTCAATGGATTTAAGAAATTGTTCACATGTCTCCTGCAGAGATGGAATGGGTAAACGTGGTAAACGACTTTGATGCTCCGCCAATGGCACATCATCGGCGGAGGGTTTTCGCTCCAACATATCATTTGCGTCTGTGTATCCATACACACTGAAGCACTCCTTTAAATGCTGCCGCTGTTGATATTCGTGCGGTGTTTGTGTGATGGGCGACCGCACGGCGACGTAATACTCCGGCGGGGCATCCAGCAGGGAGAATGGACGTACACTCGTGTTGGGCACAGAGGAGGCAAAGCGGCTCTTCGTCGGCATTATTTTTTTTCGTGGATTGTGTGGCTTTTTACTGGTTTGTTTGTTTGTTTCTATTTCAGAAGAAAAAAATATATAAATATAAATATATATATTTATAAAGAACACCTTAAAAAATCCAACAAAAAAGAGATTGAGAGAGAAAGAAAAAAAAAGAACTAAAAATACTTCTAAATAAAAATAAACGTAGGAAAAGAATAAATATATACGAAAAATGTCAATATTTTAAAAATTTAATAAATAAATAAAAATATATATATTTCAAATATCCTTTTTTTTTGTTTTTTTATTGTTTTCCTCCGCATTTGGTTTCAGCATGTGTCAGTGTACATGGATACATGCATATATGTATGTATAGAAAGAGAAACAGACATGAAAAGAAACAATTTTTTTTTTTATGCGTTTACCGATCTATGTATCTCTGTGATGTTTAGACAGAAAAACGAGTCTCTGCATCACATTAGAAATATACTAACTAAATAAACCAGTCAATCTCCTCTCTTGGATTTGTTTGTATGTATGTGTGTATATGTGTGAGTAAGTGTATGTGTGCTTGTATTAAAAACTTACAGATATCTTTGCATATCTTAGAAATAAGCAGTAAAAAATAGACGTAGCACCAACACAAAGGAGTTTCATTCCACTGGCACCAACAAAATTCATTTGTTTTGTTTTGTTTTTTGGGGGGTTTCCCTTATATTTTTTTTTCTTCTTGAGTTTTTAAATATGTATATCTGACTATCTCTCCTTCTCATACATTTTATAATTCACACCATAATCTCCAAAAATGTAGCTTTCTTGTTTCTACTATAGGTTTATGTTACATCAACATTATATATATATAATAGAGAGAGAGAGAGAGATTATCCTCTTCAACCCACGATAACACTAAAATAATGTTTTATATCCTTTATCTCTTTTTTCCTATATATCCTTTTTCTTTCTTTCTCTTTTTTTTCTTTCTTCTCCTATTCTCTTTCTCCCCCACACCAAACACCATTCCATTCCATTCCATTCCCTCTTTCCTTTCTCTCATCGCTTCCTAAAGTCGTCCACGGCGAACTCAGTCGGCCGCGGTATCTTCTTCATTGCGTAGTTCTTCGATCCAATGTAGTTTGCCTCTGCGTTGGCATCCAGCCAGTTATTCTGCGCGCGGTCCACCAACTCCGACATCTCTTCTCGCGTGAACCGCACTTTCTGCGTTTGTCGCCCCGACGGGCCGCGGCCGCGTTGTTCGCCCACAAGAGCCCCCGGCGTTCGCATCTCATCTGTTGTGCGCCGGTGCTCCTCCATGAGAAAGGCCACCAGCCACGCCGTGCCCAGCAGAAAGAGAAGTTGAATGTTAATATACGCCACGGAGATGCGAGGGTACTTCTGATAGTGCTTCCACCACGAAAAGTCCTTCTTCACCTGCACAACGTTGTACCCGAAGCGGGGCGCCAGTTTTCCATCCGGCGGCGGCGGTGTGGTGTACGCCAGTTCGCCCGTTGGCCACTGCACGCGGGAGACAATGTACTGCCCATTCGCATCCACAATGGGCTCCGCCGCGGCATCTTCATACGGCCGCTGAATCCACCGCACCGGCTCCACTTCCGGCGGAAGAGACGCGGGAGTCGTGGCCGCGGCATTCTTCTCCGTTTGATTATTCGCCGCCGAAGAAAGAGAAGAAGAAAAAGAAGAATCTCTAGTAACGGAAGGATCAGAGGTTTGTTTAGGAACCCCATCCGCCTCAGAGCCAGTCCCCTTTGTTTCTTTACAAGATGATGATGATAAGGGAGATTTTAATGGTATAGAGCCGTCTGAAACACCGGCCTGTTGTTCCGGTTGTTTTTTTTCTTCTTGTGGAGTTTTAGTGCTTCTAGTGTGCGCCTCCGTCTTCACATCTTGGTTATTTTCTCCATTAGTAGTATTAGTAGTGTGCGTTCTTTTAGCATTAGCCATTGTATCTATAGACAAGAGTCTAAGAACTCGGCTACCCAAAGCAACATGAACACAACCTACACGACGTAACATCACTATGCACTCATGAAGCACAAAAAAAAAAGGTTCACGTCGTTATAAAATCCAAAGTAAGATATTCTAAAAAAAAAAGGTAATTTATAATAAGAAATATATATATATATATATAGAGAGAGAGAGAGAGAGAGAGAGAAAGAGGGAAAGAGAGTGTGGAAAGAAAGTAAAGGAACACAAGGAGATGTTAAAACCACTATTATCGAGTATGACAAGCATCGTTACAGAGAATATCTGAAGAAGAACAAGAAAAATAGTAATAGTCGTAGTAATAACAATAATAATAATAGTAATAATAATAATTTAGATAGAGAGAGAAGAAAAAAAGAGCGAAAAAAAAGAGACATAGAATCAGAAAGACACGTTTAAGTTCTAACATACGAGCGTCTTTATTTTTTTTTTTTTTTTGAGGGGGGTTTATTTATGTATGCATATATGTATATTATGTCTGCATACCCATGTCTTCGTAATTCTACTTTTTTTCTGTTGATTACCATTAACCGGCCTCTACCTTCTTCTTCTTCTTGTCATTATCTTCCTTTTCTCAACATCATTACTTTATCTTTTAATTAAATCTCCTGTTGTAGTTGATGTCCTTTTTTTTTTTCTTTCTTCTTCACCACATAAACTAAAGAGTTAAAGGGGTGTAAAGATAATAAAAAAAAAAAAAAAGAGTTTCATACACCTAGACGTAGACCCACCCACACACACACACACACATGCAGAAACAAACAAACACGTACAGTGTGTGTATGTGTGAGAGAGAGAGAGATAGACACTCACTCATAATGAAAAAACAGAAAAGAGAGAAGGGATGAGAGAAATAAATGACAAACTGAAGTCCACACATACATATATATTTCCAGAAAATATGTGTAAAAAAATGGCAGTGGAAATAAGACCTTTCATTTTCTTTCTCTGTTTGTTTGTTTATTATTATTCACCTCCTTTCTGTTGTTCCTTACTTTTTTTTTCCTTTTTTTTTGAGAGGTGACTATTTCTCTTTTCTGTATTCATTGACGCTTCTCGCTATTTGTTGGTTATTAAGCGATAAAGCGGCATTTCATCATCACCTCACAGACACACACACACACACATGTACATACATACACAGACAGGCACTCACTCACTCACTTACTCACTCACAGATAAGAAAAACAGGCAGAGTTGCAAACGGGTTTCCAATTTCTCACTCAATCACTCTCATATATACCCATAGATGTACACAAAGAATATTATATATATATATTCTTTATTTCTGTGGGATACATGTATATTATTTTTTTTTTTAATTAAGTGCGCGGCGGTGAATGATACGTTCTTCTGTGACGTCCTCGTGCATCATTGTTTCTTCCTCTGGGAGAGATTTTAAGCGGCGTGCCCACAGTCGACTCCATGGAGATGATTCAATAAGTTCCTCTCGAGTGGTGGTTAAATTCTTATCACGATGATATCGTGCAATTTCACGCATGCGTTTCATGTACTTTTCTTCCCTCTCTTGCATAACACGACGAGTTTCTGCCTCTTCCTTTGCCTTCTGTTCATCCAATTCATGTTGATAGCGTTGGCTGTACTCATTCAGGTGTTCCCGTATGTATTTCAATTCTTCAGCTGTTAACACGGGTGCAGCAAGTGGACGCCATGAGAAGTGTGAGAGACGACGTACTTGTTTCTGCAATAACTCTCTGCCGTTAAGATCGTAAATACGGAAGTGAGTTTCATTCGAACTCTTCAATGCAGATGTCCATGAGGCGTAAAAGCGACCTGTTGGATCCCACGCAGTGTCTGTGGTTGGAACGGAGAGTTTCTCCAATTGAATGGCCATTCCACTGTCATTAATACCATAGAAATGAAGAATAGATTTCTCATAGTTTGTCGCCACCAAACGAGCCCCACGTGGAGCCCAGAAGAGATGTGTTGCACCTGTTGGATAACGGCCAAGCAGTTTTAATTGTTTCTTCATACTGTAGATACGCAGTTCAGATGTGGCTCCCATTGCTCCCATCTTTGTGCGATCCTCAAGAATAACGGCGAAGTGTGGTCCACACGGCTGCCATGCAAAGCGACCAGCGGTGAATCCCTTTTCCAATTGCAGTTGTGTAACGGAGGCACTCTTTGTACCCACAGCAAAGAGAGAATACTCCGTGGTGTTGGATTTAGTGACCTTCACCACAAGATGTGTACCTTGTGGATGCCAGAGAAGTTCCAGACGTTCGGCTTGTAAAAAGTTACGTCGCTCAATAACTTCTTCCGAAACAAGATTATCTTCCACGGTTACATTCTGAATAGTGACCTTCCATCCTTGATTCTTCTCAAGTTCTGAAACCACAGCCATTTGTTTACCCACAACTGGATTCCATTCGGCAATCTTTAAACCACTCACCATGAAGGTCTGTGATGCTGGTGCCGCATTAGAAGCTGCCTGTAAAAGACGCATAGTCTCTGAACGGTAAATGAAAAGTTTACCAGGACCACCAGGTTCCAGACTAGCATGTGCAATAGCAACAAGAGAGTCATCGGCGTTGAAACGTGTAATAGGCCATTTATCATCATCCACAAGATCAAGACCACCAAGTGTGCGAATCTTTTTAGCCACACGAATATCCCACACACTCAGATTATTTAATGTTTTCACTACGAGGTATTTTTCCTGTGGTGAAACAAGGAAGGCCTTAATATCAAGTTCTGGAACTTCAAATAATAAATTCATTTGACGTCCACCCCAGATTTTAAGTCCACTCGTATGTTGTGATATCATTAAACGACCAAATGTAGACCATGCAGGCATAGGACGAATAGATGTAAGTGGACCATAAACAAGACCAGCATCCAATTTCTTCTGACGACGATCCATCTCTGTCCATTGTCCAATAGAATCTGTTTTTAAGGCACGTGGTTTACGGTACAATTCCGCTTTGAGTGTTAGGTGATTAAACCAATACCACTCTACATCAAATGTTTCACCTTGTTTAATAAAAAACTGTGGACGTGCCATAGGGTCTTCAGACATGGTGTTAACAAGATCCGAATCCACATCCTCTGTAAGAGCAGGTGGTTTGTATTCCTCTGGTGGTGCCCGTGCAGACTCCAATGCAGACCAACGGTATGTTGTCAATACATCTGTCTTTGTGAATCGGTAAAGATTCAGTCGGGCAAGTGCATCTTCTGCCTTGGATACCGTGGCGAAGGAGATAAAGGCACCTGTTACCAGACCAGTGGTCTCATCAAGAACCAAATTAATGTGGAAGTCTTCATGGCCGAGAACCTCAGAGACTTTGTTTTTCATGTGTCGTGAGAACATGGCGCGCTTTTCAGGCGTTACATTACTCGGTAGGCCATTCACGATGATGTATCTTGACATTTGGCTATCGTCCACCATGGTTGCCGTTATTCGAGTTTTTATATAGATAGATAAGTTTTTTTTCTTTTCCTTTTTTTTTCTCTTTTTTTTTTTTTATACGGCCAATAGGTGAATTAGGAACTTTGAATTAATTATTCTCTTTTCCCTCCCTTCGTACTTTTTCTTTTTCTTCCTTTTTTTTTTTTCTTTTCCTTCTCTTGTCTTGTCTCTCTTTCTTTCCTATCGGACGTTCTTACGTTGACTCTCTTCTTTCTTTGTTTTCGTTTGTTTGTTTTTAATGTATTAGAATGAATAAAGGTTAATAACATAAGAAAAAGAAAAAAAAAGGAAAAAAAAAAGAATAATAAATAAGAGAACATCATTAACAACAAATGATGAATATATATATATATATCAAGGTACCCCAAATCGTTAGCATTACTGCGCACAGCCGTGTAAAGTTTTTTAAAACTTTTCCTCATATGTAAAATTCCCTATAAGAGTGCCTAATTTGGCTTCCTTTTTTTTTCCTCCTTTCCTTCAATATTAACTATCCTTTCTTGATTTTCTTTTCTTTTTTTTTTTTCTTTTTTGAGTATATTCGCTCTCACCTAAAAAAAAAAAAAAAAAAATTGATCCTTCTTCTTCCTCTTCTTCTTTTCTTTCTTATAGAGTTCGCCTCCCTTGACATCATTCCTAACTACCTATTCATACAACCCACATTTACTTCCTTATATGCATACACACACAAACAAACCAAACACACAAACCCACTCACTCACTCTCACAAACAAACAAACAGTTCCCTACTTCTCATTGTTATTGTTGTTGTGAGAGGCATAAGAAAGAAAAGAGAAGGAAATTCACACACATAAAGAAAGAGAAATCACATCTACGCCTCTTCAGCCTCCATCTCAGCTACTTTCTTCTGCAGACGGTTCCAAATATCACGCTGGTTGTGGCCATCATTCCACTGCTGAAAGAGAGGCTCGAACTGATATAATCCATACTTGTTGTATACAATAGGCACGGCCAACACAATAGGAACACGAATGTATCCACGTGCGTAGGTCCAGTTAAGTACAGTGGTCCAGAAGTTGGCAGACATGATATCGATTTAACGAATTTCTCCTTTCTTTTCTTTTTTGTTTGTTTGTTCGGTTGAACCTCTTGTTTCTACTTGGATACACACATACACACACACAAGTAAAGAAAATGCAACAAGAAAGAAAAAGAAAAAAAGCAAAGAAATTACTCAAATCATAAAAATGGAAAAAAAAAAAATGGTTGGTATAATATACTTAAGGCATATATATAAGTATATATATATATGAGATAATAATATGCAGATGTTTCTACCATTGGAAACAGGTAATAAAAATAAAAAAAATAAAGAGAAAAAGACGCGTCATACTATCTATGCAGTCAAATTTAAAAAAGAAGGGAGTAAAAAAAAAATAAATAAATAAATAAATAAATACACTTACACTCCTATATAAACGCAACAGGATAAATAAAAATAAAAAATACATTCATACCATTAAACCCATAAAAAAGATTATATGGTATTATTGATCACACATATACTATAATGCCTTTTATTGGCATTTCAGAAAACAAAATAATCCTTTATTCACTTAATTCCTAAGTCACTATCCTACTACCACCCCAAAACCCCACCCAATCCAACCCTATGAAGATCTTTATCCCAGTAATATTTATAGGGAATATTAATTTCTTCTTTTTTTTTTTCCTTTCCTCTCCATAATATTTTCTTTTTTTCTACGCTAGTACCTCTATTTTTCTTTTTTCTTTTTGTTTTCATCTTTTGCTCCATATATTTACACGTACGCAGCCCACATTTCTGGTTTGGTGTGATATCCATCCTTCCTCTTTTTATTTGGATATTTTAATTGCATGATTTCCTGATAACTCTGTGCCCACAGCATATCCAGCGTAATCGGGAAGTCTGCCTTTGTTGGTTCCTCAATGATGGGTGCCCACGGCTCAATCTTTTTACTCCTGGCCCCGTGCAGGACGCCGATATCATCCACCAATCCCCAATCCGTCACCGCCTCTCGCAGGGCTCTTGTCCAGTATTGTTTCAATGCAAATAAACCCCCATCCAATTCCTCTGTGATTGGGATCTGGCAGCTGAAGCGGGTGTTGTACGTGATATCCGGCCGATCCATCGATCGCCAGTTCGCAAGAGATGTGTACTCCCAGCGATTTGGTGGGAGAAGTCGATCCAACGTTTCAATATCGACATTCACAAGACAACCATCACCGTGATTCCAATCGGAACAATCAGGGTTGTTGCATTTTCCCCAATAATGGGCAAAGCCATGACATAAACCGGATCCATCAATAAGAGTATTAAGAGTAACATCTGGCATTGGATAGGTACGAAGATGATAGGGATGACCATCAAATCCAACAATTGTAATATTTATAATCTTTGTTTTGTATTTACTCTCATATACTTTACCATCTACCGCATATGTTTGGCTTAAACGACGAGCCAAAGATTTTTCTGGTAATACTCCCATACGGCGTTTCTCACGGTAATTGAGTTTATCACACATAATCTCTGCCTTTTTGAGTGGCTGTTGTAAACAATTACGATGTGAAATCTGCCAACGTCCGGCCTTCTGCGTCTCTGCGAGTTCTTCAATCTCATTATACATATGCGGAATAATACGATAGGATTGCATACTCTGAACTGTAGCCGCCGCCACGGCAGAGAGAGAAGAGGAAGTAACTCCAAGAGATCGACGAAGCATTCCAAACAAAGAGAATTTCCCTCCACTAATACACAGCAAATATAAAATAAAAAAATACAAACTAAAATAAAAAAAAAAATACTAATAATATGAATACTACCCACACCA